GATTCAAAATGCATAAGAAGAGGGGATGACAGATAAATTTACAGTAGAATAACATCGGGCAATTTGCTACTTAGATCATATTATCTCTGGGTCATTGGCAATTAAAGAGATCCTTTCTCCGAAGCCCTCTAGGATGGATACAGAGCTCTATCTTATTGTGTTTACACTTAAGTAAGGTCAGTTGCTGCTTATGTCCTCTTGCCAGGGGCAGAGACCTTGTATGCGGACTTTTTTATTTGTCTTCCTGAACCTCTTGAAGAAAGGCCTTGTTCATTTTTGCATGGTGTGATCTGTGGCATGTACCCTAAAAAAGCAATTAATGACCTGAAATGTGTGATCGCAAACCAGCTTGTGGATTGGGAGTCTCAGAGATCAAGTACAGTTCCAGAGAAGAAACTGGAATTTGAACTCCTGTTGTGAAGGTGCTGGGTATGGCTGAATGATTGTTATGACCTAGCTGGTCCCACAGAGAGGAGATCAGGTGCAGGAACAAGGCACAAATGGTACTGACAAGGAATTCCTGAGTCTGGTGAATTGTGGTCCTAAACACAGAAGTGGAATACAGGTGGAGAAAAGAGAGAGGAAAATATTTAAGGAAGCTCTTGCAAGTTGAAAGTGCCTTGTGTTTTCTGTAAGCTATTGGTTCTCCTGATCCTGTACTTTCTCTGCCACGGAAGCACGAGGTCAGTGTGTTTCATTTCCAGATAGCATGTTAGTTGCCCTACCTCCTGGGGTTAAACATCTCTGCAATTACCTGTCAGAGAGTTGATTATTAGCTGTGTAAAGCCAAGGATACTGTAGGGAGCAGATGGGAAGTGGCTTGGCTGTTGCAGCCAGGCTGATTAAAGAATCCTTGGCAATTTTACAGTATGTCTTTGGAAATGTACCACCAAAGTTACTATGAAGCCTGCTGTGTTTGGAAAGCTGAATTTCTGAAAAGTCACCTGGTTGAAAAGTACAACTCATAAAAACTCTTAACACCCTCAAAAATAGGACAGTGGTTCTCTAAAGAACATTATTATTACTAAAGATCAGTCTTTGTAATATGTTCTCTTTGCATTCTAGTCATTCAGAAATTCTGCATAGTTTTCTAGTAGGGAAAATACTTTTTCATAGCTATATTAATAGAATTATAGATTTGAAAAAATACCTTTTTCCCTTTGAAAAAGGAATTCTTTATGTAATTTGATTAACAGATGATTATGCATTTTCTGCTCAATACTTTCAGTGATAAGTATGTGGCATCCATAAAGATATGGATAAAGATTAAGCATTGCAGGCCATTGTTGGAAATCTCAGGTTGTTAATTTTTTTTCACGACTTAAATATCTTTCTGTAACTTATACTCACTGGTCTTGTTTCTTCCCTCAGCATCACAGAATAAATTTCTTCTGCATTACAATAATTATATATTTAAAGCTAATTAGCCTGTCTCCCTTCAGTATTCTCCTTTCCAGACTAAAGAATACTAGTTTATAAGACATTTTGTTTTATGAAATGGCTTCTTGGTCTTAGACTATACTCTTCTGACATCCCTCCATTTAATGAATATCTCACTTAAGGTGTGTAACCTGACCCTGTCTGTTGTGGCTTAGTTGGTTGGAGCCATTGTCCCTTATACCAAAAGGTTGTGGGGTTGATTCCTGATCAGGGCACATGCCTAGGTTACAGGTTCGATACCTGGTTGAGGTGCTTACAGGAGGCAATTGATCGATGTTTCTCTCTCAGCACTGATGTTTCTCTTTCTCTCCCTTCCTGTCTGTCTAAAATCAGTGAAAAATATCTTCAGGTGAGGATTAAAAAAAAGATGTGGAACCTGGAAATGAGCACAGACCATCAGATGTTCTTTTCATGTTCTGAGTGAGAAGAAGCACAATTTTTAAAAAATGTAATGGCACTATTTCATGCCTACTAGGAAAAAAAACAAAACAATTACAAGAATTATTCAAATTTATGCTATACTGAACCGATTTTAGTGCTTCAGATAGGCTTTAACAGGATGGATATATATGTGATCTTGCATAACTGAAATTCTATTGCTTTTACACATGACAACCTGATTCAGTGTGAGTCCTCTGACTAACAGCCTTTTCTCTTGAAAATTTTGTGGATTTTTTTCTTTTCTTTTTTTTTTTTAGTGTTTTTTCTTTTTTAAAATATATTTTATTGATTATGCTATTACAGCGGTCCCAATTTTTCCCCCTTTGCCCCCCTCCACCTGGTACCCCCATTCCCTCTGGCAATTCCCCCTCTTAGTTCATGCAGCTTGAGGTTGGCCCGATTTTTGTCTTTTCATAAAGGAAGATAGGACTTCTTCCTGTTTCCATATGACAGATCAGCCAGTACAGCAGAGAGCTGTCAGAATCTCTCAATGTGCACTAACATTTTTATGTACTTTATAGTCTTTCCTTTATATGAACCTTCAGAGTCTCTCTCTTCCATTACCATTCTGCTCCCTAGAGGAAGGGGTTTTTTTTTTGTTTTGTTTTTTAAGGGGAACATCTTTTGAAAGTTTTACTGTTTTTTCCAAGAATAAACAAACATGGGGTTGTTTTAATGGTTAAATTGGTTAAATCACATACTAATGATAGTGCAGCTCTAGAGGAAAATAGGTAAGCCTTAGTTGAATGTGGATTACACTCTAAGCCTAGCCACATTTGCAAAGCTTGAAGAGGTGGTAAATTATGATGTTGGGGAGAAGCATGTTTTAATAATCCTCTATAATGCAGATTCAGTTAGCACTCCTATTTCTAGAAGTGCTCTCTGCCCTTCATAATAGGATAATTTTCAGTACCATGTTCCCCGTCTTTACTTTCTTAACTTGCAGGTATATTCCCTGCACTTAGTTTAGTGCCTGGCACATAGTAGGAAACTTTGAATGAATGAACAAATATATACTACACTACTTCCATATAGGCCAAGTCTTGTGCAGTGTTGAGAATTCCACACATTTTACTAAAAATTTCTTTAGAATTCTAGATCATTATCAGAGGTATTTCTCTGACTGTTCAATAGTTGTTTTCTTTACCATGTAGGTAGCATTTTTTTTCATAGTTCCTACATCATGCTCCCCTCCCACACATAACTTTTTTTTAATATATATTTTAAAAATTTATTTATTTTTATTTTTTTAGAGAGGAAGGGGGAAAAAGAGAGAAACATCAATTTGTTGTTCCACTTATTTATGAATTTATTGATTGATTCTTGTATGTGCCCTGACCAGGGATCGAACTTGCAACCTTGGCATATCAGGATGGCATTTTAACCAAGTGAGCTATCAGGCCAGGGTCACACAAATTTTTTGCTCATCCTTTTATGAAGTAAGATCTGTATAGACTTGATGCCACCAGTCGTTGCTTGCTGCTGGCATTAAGCTTTACTTGGTGGGGTAAAGGATTATTTCCTTCTCAAATCTCCAGCTAAATGGCAGATTGATATGCACACTATTCTCTCTGAAATCCCAGTTGCCAACAGGCATCCCTTGGTAGGACAGCTTTGCCCTCCTAGGATGACATCTTCCCTTGTAACTGCACCGTGATTCTTTGATGCTGTCTTGAGAGAGGAGGTGAAAAAGTACAATTTGTCTGGTCTCTGTCCTATCTGTAGCATTTACCTGTTAGAAATCCACTTTGTAGGATTCATTGTGCCACCATTGGCTTGCTCTCTCTGCTCTGTTATCTTATGAGTTATTTTCTAAACGGATATAGAAAGATGGTAGATAGGACAGTGAGCAAGAGCAGAACTCTTTGGTTTTGTCATAAAGTAATATCAGGATGGTATATGTAGGCTGCTGGGTTTTCTAGATGGTATACTCCTCAGGTTTCATGAGTAAGGAACTGTAGAGATATAAATGGCCCTTTTCACCACACCACCAACCATTTTAGCCTATCTATTTCATGTGGCGAGGCCAATACAGTGCCATCAATCTTGCACAAGAATGTGGAGAGTTATCCCACATTCTGGTGTTAGGTTTTTCAGTAGTTGTTTTTAGTAGTTCAGTTATTGGTGGGGTAAAACTTTTTTCTTTTCCTTTTTTTTTTTTTTTTTTTTGGTGTACATATGTGTGTTTTCATAGACATTTTAGTGGGAAGTGGGAAAGGCCACATTCAATTCCTCTATTTTGATATAATTTGAAACCTGGAGTTTAATAAGGCTGATTTAACAGAATTTAAATTGATTGGTTGAGTCATCTCTGAGGATGGCTCCTAGTTACAGTTTTTGTCCCCTATCCTGATGTATTTTTCCCAGTTGTGCTTGCTTTTATCCTTTATTTGTATTACCCATAGTTAGACACCCCACCCCCTAATAGTAAAAAAACAATCTTTTTACTATTTTTAGTAGGGACAGGCCATGTTAGTAGAGGGCTTCTTTTTTTAAAATTTTCACTTCTTGCTTTTAGGGAAAGAAACATCAATTTGTTGTTCCATCTATTCATGCATTTACTGGTTACTTCTTGCATGTGCTGTGACCAGAGATCGAACCTGCAACTTTGGCGTATCTGGATGACACTAACCAACTGAGCTACCTGCTCAGGGCAGTAGAGGGCTTTCAAAGCCTTTGCTAATCCCGGTTCTGGGTCTCTGGTAATTTAAGAAGGAACAAGGAGAAAAAGGGGGTATGATTAACAAAGTTGTGCTACAACTTGAATCTAAGATATGCCAGGGCTTGTATTTATTGAGGGAAGATTGCCAGCTGGCAGTGGTAGTAGAAATAAGTCTCTTGGGAATGGGAAATAACTCTAGAAAATTTCTAGTTAAGACTTACCACAGAATCTCTGGGCATTTGGAAATATTGTACTCTTCCTTGGGGAGATGGGGTGGGGATTAACTTTTCTCTGGTCCAATGTGACTTGTTTAGAAATACAATTGAACTTGCTTGTTTTGTCCATTATGATGTGATAGCCCCCTAGGAAAGGGTCTGTTTTGTGTGGGAGTTTATTTCAGGCTGTCTCCTTGCCTGTATTGTTTTCTTTAACAGCTTTTCAAATTTTCTTTTTCCAGCAATGATGTTGTCCACTGGGCATGTACTGACCAATGTGGCAGGTCTGAGAACATAGCTGAAGCTGAAAATAGGAAAGCTGGGGGCAAGGAAGAGCCTTGAATCTTGAGGTGGGACGTTGACTCTAAGATGTCCTTGAGCAGTGGAGCCTCCGGAGGGAAAGGAGTGGATGCAAACCCGGTTGAGACATACGACAGTGGGGATGAATGGGACATTGGAGTAGGGAATCTCATCATTGACCTGGACGCCGATCTGGAAAAGGACCAGCAGAAACTGGAAATGTCAGGCTCAAAGGAGGTGGGGATACCGGCTCCCAATGCTGTGGCCACACTACCAGACAACATCAAGTTTGTGACCCCAGTACCAGGTCCTCAAGGGAAGGAAGGCAAATCAAAATCCAAAAGGAATAAGAGTGGCAAAGACACTAGCAAACCCACTCCAGGGACTTCCCTGTTCACTCCAAGTGAGGGGGCAGCTAGCAAGAAAGAGGTGCAGGGACGCTCAGGAGATGGTGCCAATGCAGGAAGCCTGGTTGCTGCTATTGCTCCCAAGGGCTCAGAGAAGGCGACTAAGGCATCCCGTAGTGTAGCCGGCTCCAAAAAGGAGAAGGAGAACAGCTCATCTAAGAGCAAGAAGGAGAGAAGCGAAGGAGTGGGGACTTGTTCAGAAAAGGATCCTGGGGTCCTCCAGCCAGTCCCCTTGGGAGCACGGGGTGGTCAGTATGATGGAAGTGCAGGGGTGGATACAGGAGCTGTGGAGCCACTTGGGAGTATAGCTATTGAGCCTGGGGCAGCGCTCAATCCTTTGGGAGCTAAACCGGAGCCAGAGGAAGGGGAGAATGAGTGTCGCCCGCTAAAGAAAGTCAAGTCTGAAAAGGTAAGAGGTGGCCAGATCTGGCTGCCCAATGCCAGTCAGAACTGCCCTGGACTAACCACCAAATGTTATGTGCGCTTTGTGGGAGGCTCATTAGTTTGTGGGGAATGACCGATGACAAGGTCAGAGCAGTTGGTAATGATAATGTGGTTTTGTTTTAAATCAGGAGATTCCCTACAGAGTCATTAACGGCAGGCCTGGACATCTTGGAGAAGAATATTTGTTGTTGGGGGCAGTTACTTGTAGAATAAATTTTCTGCAAGTCAAATTGAGAACCTCCCACCTTGTTTTTGTCCTACCTCAGACACTTGTTGCCAGAGGCTAGCATCAACCTTCATGTGGTTCCCAGCTTGACTGGCATTTCATCCTGAGTCATTGACAAACTTAATAAGTTGATAAACTTAATAGTCTTTCTGTTGAATGCTGTTCTTAATGGGATAAGTGGTGCTGCTGGGTCCTAAGAGGAGAAAAGAGTTAAATAAGTCCCTTGGCATGATGTCTACCAGGTATTGTATTGGTGGCTACCAAAGGGCAAAGGGGAACAATGCGGGGCAGGTAAACAAGGGAGCAGGAGGTACTGACTATACCATGAGGTACTTAACCGGGCCTTATGAGTTAGTGTGGTGGCTGTGAAAGTTTAGCCTTGAAAGAGATTCTTTGGCCACAAAAGGTATAGTTCTTGGCCTGGTATCTCATTCAGCTATTGGGAATCAAAGTCTCCTGGTGCTTTAATAGCTGCCAAACAGTGTAATGATGATACCATGCCTCCTCTTTGACTTGGAAGGACAGGTGCCTGCCGCCTCAGGGGGAACTCTCCCCTGGGAAGATGATCTTAGTTCATGTCTCAGGAAATGGATGGAGCTTGCAGGGCTGCAGCGGATTAGGTGTGAGGCCAGGGTCAGCTCAGACTGCCTTGAACTTCAGCAGCTTACAATTTCCTGCAGAGCAGTTGGCCTGGGGATGAGCTGTATGTTGGCTCTTGATTTTCCGCTCTGTGTTCTGTTCACCCTGTGCTTTCAGCTGATCCCAGCAGATGCAGTATAAATTGATTTCTCTGTAATTGCATCAGCTGCAACAGGGAATACATATTTCCATACGTAAGTGTTAATAAATAGAGGGTGGATGTGTATGTTTCAGTGGTGCTGCCCTCTCAGTGCCTTGATTCCAGTGGTAGTTTATGCTTTTTTGCTGTAGATATTTTGGTCTTTGGCTGTGGCACATCTGTAGCTCTTAGCAACATCTGGGCTTCCCTGGCAACAGGGCTGTGAATTTTTTCCTACTAATAACACAGTGGTTTATTCCCTTTTAACAATGGCAGCTGCCAGAGAAGCTGCCTGTGTTTAGGTGGCAGATGCTATAGTCCACCTCAGCAGAGTCAAGTTCCAGCTGGTTACTGGCATGGTTCATCCTGCGCTGGCCGCGATTTACCATTTTCTCTGGGGTGCAGATGGATAATACTGTTTTGAAGAGGCCTAGGAGTACCAGGAGTTCTTGTTTCTGTTCCAGGCCCATTAGACTCTTTCCTACATCTGGCTTCAGTAAACTCCTGCCATATATACCCATGTTCATAATCATTGTTCCTCCTGTGCTGAAAGTGTCCACTTCGGAGAGTGGCCTTCATTTTCCTTTCTGCTTAGAACTCTTACCTCAAATGCTGCAGTCTTCTAAGCCCAGTATTAGTCTGTGGGTGAAAGGATTAATGATGCTTAGCTTCATGTAGGATTTAATTCTAAATGTTCATGAAAGTCTCCAACAGAGAAGCAAATGGAACACGTTTTCTCTTATAGGTACAGAGACTGCCTTCAGATTATAGTTGGGCTGAAAGATGCAGTCCATTTGGCTAAGAATACACCTTGGTGCTGGGGGAGTTTGTCCCTTAATAATGTAGCTGTGTCGTAAGCCTTGTCTCCCAAGGAGATTGAGAGTGGGGCAGTAGAATAAGAGAGAAACTGGGCTTTAGTTTTTGGAAGAAAGATAAAATTGCTGGGAATTACTTTTGGAAGTAGAGAATTTATTATGCACTTTGATGTTAACTGTAAACATGAACCTGCTTTCTCAGGTCCTTTCCCTGTTCCCTCCACCCTTTAGAACAGTCTGGTTTTGAGGGTGCTTTAACATAAAGCCTTTGACCATTGAAATAATTATTTAAATAAATGTTTGAGTGTTGCTAGGAGATGAAAACACTTTGTGCAGGGAGACAGTGATTCTGGAATGGGAGGAGGAAAAGACTCAAGTTAAGGAAAAGAAGGCTAACAATTTTGGAGTGGAGCAGCTTTTGAGAAACAGGGACCCTAGGGTTTGGGGCATAATAGGTGTTTAGTCAGTGTTTGATGATTAGTACAATAGCTTATAAACTAAGTCTCTGAAAACTTCTTTTAAGATTTTCTCTCTGAGCCCTGAGTGGTGTGGCTCAGTCAGTTGGGCATCACAAACTGAAAGGTCACCAATTGGATTCCTGGTGAGGGCACAGGCCTGGATAGTGGGCCAGAGTCCCAGTTGGGGGCATGTGGGAGGCAATCAGTCGCTGTTTCTCACACACATGGACACGATATTTCTCTTCCTTTCTCTTTCTCCCTCACTGCCCCCTTTCTATAAATAAATAAAATCTTTAAAAAAAATTTAAAAAATTTTCTCTCTGAGATATGGGCTTGCCTATGACTTTACTGGTTTGGAACGTTTCTTCCATGTGGAACAGCCAACACATGCATGTGGGACAATCAAAACAGCAAAACAGATGTCTTGATATAATTTAGGAATTACATACTCTGAGCTGGGAATTGTCATGAAGAAAGATAACTCATAATATTTAGAAAGTGTCTTGACAGGAGTCCCCTTGCCCGCCCCTCCTTGGAAATAGGACAGAAGACAGTGGAGTTTGTGGTATAGGGTAGAATTGTCACATGTCTACCACTAGCTAATGAGGGAGATTTGAGTACTCAGATTACCTCAGGACCTTCTCTCTCATCCAGGTAGATATCTTACACTATGACTGAGGGAATTTTCTGTCAGCCAGGGATGTGGATTTCCCTTCATGGGATCCCATTTTTGTTCCACCACACCTCTCTCTGGCAGGGCTCACTGTGCTGTTTCTGAGTCCAGAGGTGGCTCTTAGCAACTGCTGCTGCTCTGAATTGTGTTTGAACACTCCTGCCTCATACTTCCTGCCAGCTGAAGAGATGGGGATGGGGGGCAGGATTGTTGAGGAATAAACAAGACTGAGCCTTCTGGCTCCTGCCTGTTCCCTTGCCTGTGGTTTGATTGATAGGTTGTTAAGTTGGGGACACTGCCTGTCTGAATGTTCCAAGCTTAGCGCTTGCACTGCCACTCTGACAGGCAAGAAAAAAAGAATTTACAAACCACAGAAGGCAGTGATCTATCTGTGGCAACTCTTGTCAGGCAGACAGAGTCAAGGCTGAAACCAGGAGTTTAAGTGAGACATCTTTTTTTTTTTCCAAGTCATATAAAGTAACCTGTAGGCTCTAGTGGCTAAAGGATCTAGAGCTTTGCAGCCAGAAGCCCCTCTTGCCTCTTTAGCTGCTGGTTTTGATCTTGCAAGGTAGAAACACTCTGCTTCTGCTGTTCTCAGAGTGCAGCATATATTACCATTTCTCCCATTACTTTAGGATACAAAGAAAATGATCATGTATGTCCTTAGCTATTTTGCCATCTGATCATGCTTGCTATTATATCCTTTGTTCTAAGAGCATCTTACTTTGCCCTTGGTTTTGTTTTCCTGCCCTGGTTTCTGCCTTCCAACTCAATTCTGTTGTGTTGCAATCCCTCATTGCCCAACCAAGGTCAAGTCTCTCTTATTCCTTCTGATACAAGACTCTCTTTTGACACCTTCTTCCTTTTCTAGCTGTTCTTTCTCAGTTAGTGATTGCTTAGCAGTCAGCCTTGCTTCCTGAAGCCAAGTGACCTCAAGCATTTTCCTTCATGGAAAAAATTTGAAAGTTTATATTTATGTGGAACAGAAATGTATTCTTTAACTACAATGGAGCCTGAGCTTAATTTATTTTTTCTTCAGCAGCTCTGTTTTCTACCTGGGTGTTGTAATTCAAGGAGGGCCCAGGGAAAGATTATCTTGTCAAACCTCCTCGTTTTATAGAAGAGGAAACTAAGACCAGGGAGGTCAGGTGACTTGTCTGGAATCTCCCAGGTAGTCAGTGGCAAAGCCAGACACAGAAGCCAGATATTTTGTTACCACATTCTTATATCATGTTTTTACTCCAAGATTCTTAACAAATCTTTAACTCTTCCAAGAGGTTCTTTCTTTTCCCACTTTAAAGAACACCTCAGAAACATTGGATGTAAATGCCTAGATACTCTCAAGACTGCTTTTTTTTTCTTTAATTTTAATTAAATTTATTGAGGTGACATCAGTTAACAAAATTATATAGGTTTCTAGCGTACAGTTCTATAATACAGCATCTGTATTGCATTGTGTGTTTATCACCCAAAGTCAAACCACCTTCCACCCCCACATATTTTAGCCTCATTACCCTTTACTACTTACCTACTCTTTTCTCCCTCTCATAACCACCATACTGTTGTCCGTGTCTATGAGTTCTTGTTTGTCTTTTTGTTCATTTGTTGCTTTCAGTTTTATAACTTGTATGAGTGAAATCATATGATTCTTGACTTTTTCCATTTGACTTATTTCACTTATCACGATATTCTCAAGGTCCATTCATGCTGTCACAAATGGCAGTCTTTCATCTTTTCCTGTGGCTGAGTATTCCATTGTATGTATATATCACATCTTTATCCCAGTCTGAAATCAAAGGACACTTTGGTTGTTTCCATGTCTTGGCCACCATGAACAGTTCTGCAGTGAACATAGGGATACATATATCTTTATGAATAAACATTTTCAAATTTCTTGGGTAGGTACTCAGAAGAGGGGTTGCTGGGTCATATTGTAGCTTAATTCTTAATTTTAAGGGGAGCCTCCAGACTGTTTTCCTTAGTGGCTGTACCAGGTTACATTACCACCAGCAATG